ATGAGATCCCATTAAAGGAATAGGATCCCATTAAAGGAATGTGATCCCATTAAAGGAATGTGATCCCATTAAAGGAATGAGATCCCATTAAAGGAATAGGATGCCATTCCTGGTTTAACAGCAACCCTCTGCCCTAATTCTCCTCTTAAGGGGAAATAGGAGGATTATTCTGCTATTCAGGCCATTCTGAGGGATATAAGTGCTGAGATCTTCCAGTGACTTCGTGAATGTTTGTGGGTGTTTTTCTAAAACTGGCCGTTTGTTATCAGTGTTTTATTTGCCAGCTGAGTCACTGAGCTGTCTGTTGCTCTGTGGTCACAGTGGAGCTGAATCATCACTGTTCCCCATATTAACCACAGCCTCTTGGTCGTCTCCATATGAGTACGATTATCGCTGTGATCAGGACTCACCTCCACATTCACTTCTGGAGATTTTCATCTCCAGAACAGACATTTCCTGTTAAGGTTTGTCCTCCGTGGTGACAGGATGCATCCTGTGCTGATTAGTGGGCGTTAACTTAGACGACACAATAATAATCCCTGATCTGAGGTCAGATTCCTTGTTTGTCTGTAGAAACTTGGTGACTGGTCGGTTGGTATTTGGAGCTTTGAAGCTCCAAACTGCTTTATTCTGTTCATTTTTTTGCAAAAAGTCCACATTTAAATGTTCATTAGGAGGAACTGATCATATTAGTTTGGTTTGTTGAGGAGATGAGCTGCTTCTGTTTGCATAGGTCTATGCTGATTATTCTGTATTCAGGTCTTTATAAATACAGATTAAACAAACCTCGAATAACAGTAGAAGAGCTGTTACAGTCGACTAGGATGCTTCGTGTGGTGGACGGATTCTGCTCTGAGTGCCACTGAACAGCAACATGGCTGCAGACTGGGGCGGAGGGAGACGTCCACTGGACCTGCAGCTCCTTCCGTTCTGGACTACGGCTGTAAATGCTGAGATTCCTCACCGAGAGCAGAGCTGCAGGAGGAATATGAAGCGGACACGTTTAGTTTAGGCAGAGGGCAAAAATGACATTTGAAGGTTTATAAAAACAAACGATAAGCTTTAATGTTTATCAATGTCCACAGCATTCAAATAAAAAAAAAAAAAAACAATCTGATTGGTTTTCTGTTGGATATTTATAGAATCTCCTCTTTGTTCAGCCTCAGTGATCAGCTCAGGCCGGAGCCTCCAGGTCGGAGCCTCCAGGCCGCAGCCTCCAGGCCGGAGCCTCCAGGTCGGAGCCTCCAGGCCGCAGCCTCCAGGCCGGAGCCTCCAGGTCGGAGCCTCTAGGC